GGAGGAGTTAGGAGCTCTTTGAGAGATTCTCAGAATGTTTGTGAATACGGGTCCGGAACTTTTTGCAGCTCTAGTATTGCAGATCTATCTCCACATGTTATTGGAAGGACAAACGCTTTGAATCATCAGTTTTTTCTTTCTCTAAATTAAATAAGTTCATGAAGGAATCATTTCAATTCCTCAGTCAAATAACCGTAGAGAAGAATAAGTTATCCCTCAGTGTGCTCTTGATGTAATGGGTTTTCTGAGTTGGTCTTTGAGCTGCCATATGAGACCCTGAAGAAGGCTCCCCTGTTTGGTTTTGCTTACAGCGGGGGAAAAAAAAAAGGCTATTCTGAGAGCTGATATGACTTGCTGTAGGAAGTAGCTCAATGATACACATCCTGTTTATATTTAGAGGAGATAAGCTTCTCTTCAGCAAGTGCTTAACTTTGAACAGATTTGTTGAACTGTTGTAGACCGTAGCAGGGAGATTACATGTATTAGCGTGTGTTGATGTGTGTTTATTCTTTGCTTTATTTTTTTTTACAGAAGAATAAACTCGTTCTTTCTTGCATGTATAACATGTTGAATTAATGACACGTCATCAATGATTCTGAGTTAAACCTGCAGAGTTGTTGCTACTACAGCCTTAATTGGTGTGGCATTAGCTGTAGCTTAAAGCGGCTCATGTCAGAAAACTTACTGATACGTAAACAGACACTGCTGTCTTGCTGACATTAGACCTAGTTGCTAAGATTAAGAACAGGGAGAGCTCATATGCTACTGGGGCAAAGCCCTCCCTTTCTCTTACAGTAAAGATTAGTCAAATATACAGAGAACTGAAAACATTGTTTTAAATTGGTGGAACTGTCTTGCAATACTTGGATTTTCTTACTGTAAATATATTCGTCATAAACACTCTTCATATACCTCTTTGGCACATTTTGTCATTTTCTCAAATTGTGTCTTCAACAGTGGCCTAGTGGTTGGTGCTCGCGCCCCGTGTACGGAGGCTGTGGTCGTCCAGGCGAGCTTCCCTGGTTCGGGTCCGACATGGGGCCCCTGTTCCTGCATGTCTTTACCCCCTATCTCTCTCTCTCTGACTCTATCCACTGACCTATCTTTAAATAAAGGCATAAAAAGCTCCAAAATTAATCTTAAAAAGTAAACGTGTTCCTAAAATGCTGAATGTTTGATGAGTTTTCTGTTTTTCTTAAATGCATGTTAACAGTAAGAGACACCCAAACAACCATGCAGTATTTCCAGCATTTGAGGGGAAATACTGCATCTTTTTTTTTTTTTTTAAACTTCATTTAAAAAAATCCTAAAGCTTTACGGGCTGTCAAACAAGCAAGGTATAGGAATGGCTGCATCATCCTGGCATCTGTGCGTTAATGCCTGTTTGCTGCCTGCCTCTTCTGTCACCCTCTCCCTGTTGATTCTGTGAAGGTGTTGTTGGTGCTCCTATAGACTGCAAGTGTTGTGTACACCAAGTGGTGCATTTCACTCACAGCAGGAAACAGGTGTGAGACACCAGAGTAGCACAAACCCACCACTTCAGCTCTACGGATGAAAGCTTTGTTTTCTAAAGCTGCAGGAGAAATGACATTTTGATGAATAGCTTATCACAGACCCATTTTTCTTTGTTTCTGTCGTTGTAGTTCTATTTTCAAATGATTTACAGTTTTATACATCTTTCTTCCTCTAATAACTATTTTGTAACCTTTTTCTCAGTTCAACTTACAATACATTTACAAGACTGCTGGGGCGGCTGTGGCTCAGTTGGTAGAGTCAGTCATCTCTCCACTGGGAGGTCGGGGGCTCTCCTGTAACTAATCCCATTCATACGCCGACGAAGCAGCGGGAGCAATTTGGGGTTAAATGTCTTGCCCAAGGACACATGTGGCTGCAGGAGATGGAGATCGAACCCTCGACCTTCTGGTTGAGAGGCGACCGACTCTACCAACTGAGCAACAGCCACTGCAGTCAGAAGACAAAAAGCTCTACACAAGCTCAAATCTATTCACCATTTACCAAGTCCAAAACAAAACAACACACAAAAGATCATTACAATGAGTACAGACCAGAGAAAGGGGCATATTCATGTTTTACATGTGTCTCCTCAAACTCATTTCACATTAAGAGAATAAAATGAAGGTTTACTGCATGTGTGGTAGTATGATGTAGAGTGTGTGTGTGCGTGTGTGTCTCTCTAACTGATAATACAGTTACTAATAATGGCAGAATAACGACACATTCACACACTTAAAAGAAGAGATTTGCCATGGTTTTGTGAAACCCTTTTCTGTGCTCATGACTGAGAGTTCTTGTCATTTTCAAAAGTAACACACAGCCTCCCTGTTACATCCCTCTGCAGGCTGTGATTGACTCATGCTTATTTCCCACAGTTATAAACAGTACACCTGTAAGTTCTCCTATCGTTGAGCTCTGCTGCTTTTTCACCAGTCCTCATCAGCTCCGATAGAAAAAAAAAAAAAATCCATTAAAAAAACTGCTCAAGGACAAAACGCTGCGTTCACTAACATCACGCAGAGCCGCGAGAGCATTCCAGGTCTTTTTAATATGACTTTGTACCATACAGCTAATTAGAATTTTAATGAGACTATTTTTATATTTCTTCTCATAAATCCCCACAGAAGTGTCCTTTTCATGGCAGCAAGATGGTGAAAGAAAACTCCCAGTTGAAGATGAGAGGTGATCTCCGCACATTCACTTCCAGCAGGAGGGAGGCTAAATGACGGGTATTTTAGTTATTATGGATTTTTTAACATGACTGATCTCATTAGTGAGAGTTTATGCAAGCTGTTCGTAAAACATGATGATGGATTTGAGCTTTTTTATTAAGCAGGACAGCAGGCAGATCCAATGGGCTGATCATGAATTTGCAACCAACCAATGGTTATACACCTTATGCATTGATTTATCGATGGGGGGGGTGACAGTAGCTCAGGCTGTAGGGACTTGGATTGGGAACCGATTGAAGTCTCAGTGCAGATTATGTCTGGAAATTTGGTCTGGTAGCTGGAGAGGTCAGTTCACTTCCCGGGCACTGCTGAGGTGCCCTTGAGCAAGGCACCAAACCAGCTCAGGAGCGCTCGCTGTGGACTCTGACATCTCTCCAGTAGTGCATGTCCATAGGATCCTGTTTGTGCATGTGTGTGTGTTTCAGCCTATGTGTGTGTGTAGCATGTTCAACAACAGAGTGGAACATTTAATTCCCCCTAGGATTGATAAAGTATATCAGCTGCTTCTTCTTCTTCTAGAACTTATTCACATAGAATAGAATTGAATGACTTTATTGATCCCAAACAGGGAAATTGTGGCGTTACAGCAGCAGGTTATCCAAACACACAATGTAGCATTGCACCTCATAACAGAGGAATAAAAAAAACCCTATTAATTATCCTTTAAAATAAAAGCCCACAGACAGAGGAGACTGCATGAGAACTACTTACGTAGCTTTCTTTAAACTGTCGAACTTCAGGTGTTCCAACTGTAACTGGGCGACTGTTGTTGTTTTTTTTAATGCCAATTCAGTCAGCTTGAGCCTGTAGCTCGTAGCAGCTAACTAACCAGCAAAAAGGTTGTGAAACATTGTGGTTAGGTTGCATGAAACAGCTGCTTTGATCACTCTGTGAAGCGAGCTAAATACATGGCTCTTTAACGAGGTCTAAACTAAAACTTGAGCTTATATCGGGTCACTTTCTGATGATTTCTTCACTGCAACAAATCAAATTTAAGCAAGTGTGTTTGTCTAATTTTGAGTCAAAAATATCTACTGTAATTACACTTCTTTGAAGCCACATTCACCTGACAAGTCCAGATAAACAGTGTGTTTCAAAAAGCCCTGGGTTCGATCCCCAGCTCCTGCAGCCACATGTCCAATGTGTCCTCAGGCAAGACACTTAACCCCAAGTTGCTCCCACTGCTTCGTCAGTGGTGTATAAATGAGTATGAATGGGATTAGATATTTCCGACTGTTGCTATAAATAGCAGCCTCTTCCATCAGTGTGGGAATGTGTAGGTGTGTATGTGCGGTGTAAAAGCACTTTGAGTAGTCAGAAGACTAGAAAAGCGCTAAACAAGCTCAAGTCCATTTATTTGCTAAGATGTGATGTTTTGAAGTGTTGACGTTTTTTTTATGTGACCAACCAAGGGATGCAAACTTCGTCAACTATTTGTTTGCAGCCTTAAAGACCCACATGTGTCATAGAACAAAAAGTCATAATTAAGAAACCAGCACAAATCAGCACATCATCCTGTTGTTTACGCTCTCCTGTTGTTGCTGCGCAGGTTGTTTTCTCTTTCAAATGTAACATTTCTAAATTATGTAACACCACATACTTAAAAAGACAATGTCGGTGGTTACATCTCTGTGCTGACAGAGTGCTGACTCATCACTGTTTAGGATATGTTGTTTGTACTTGTGCGCTTGTGTTTGCTCATCACTTCTAGTGGGTGGATCAGTTTCTAAAACCGACGAGAGAATAAAAGGAATCAACAGCATGCGAGAGCCTCCGTGGCTTCTACTGTTAACACAAGTAACAGCTCGGTACACAAAAACATCTCATTGTTGAATCATTCATTAAGGCAGATAAAGACATCACTACATGGAAGATTTCTTTAAATAAATATTTTATTTGAAAATAAATACATTTTCTTAAAATAGAATCAATAACATTACAAAAGCTTTGAGGAAGTGGGGGAGGAGAAGACGTTGTGGGTGGGTAGGGGGGAGGGGGGGGGGCGTTCAGGGAGGGTTTACCCAAATGAATGATGTGTAATTTTGGAACAAGGAGTACAATCTCACATGTTTATCTACCATCTTAAGACAAGTTTCCCACAATGTGTTGTACTGTACATTCTCAGCTGCTCTGTGGAAAAAAGTGGCGGCGTCCCTCACGCTTGCTTTAACATGCACTCTACTCGGTCTTAAAGCTTCAGGTCCTGCACGCAAACTCAAACTGTATCTACACACTTTGTTCAAAATAAAATAAGAATGTAGGATATAATCGTTTTTGTCCACACATCAAAAAAAATCATCCACTGATTTACATTTTACATCTGACAAAGGTTTTTTTTTTTTTTCTGAATGTACCTTAAATGTGTCTAGATCAACTTCACCTCTAGTCTACAGTACAAAGATACGATACACGAGAAGGCTGCGCTCGTTGATACAGCAGTGATCAGAGGCCGCTGTCTCGCTTAAAGGCCAGAAGGATTCCCACTTGAACTGTGAGGTGGTCGAGTTGCTCTGGCTGCAGTCTCTCCAGGCCGGAAAAAGTGAAACAGAGCAGGGTAACTATCAGACACTATTCTGCCCTTTTTTGTACCGCGGCGTTTCAATGCCCGTTGTACCGACTCTACAGCTCGGGGATGGCAGATCTCCAGAGAGAGAGACAGGGACAGCAGCAGCAGCAGCAGCACAGTGGTATTGGAACAGATTAACACAGTGCACCAGCGCAAGCCCTGACCCCTCTGACAGCTCCACAAATAGCCTGATGAAAGCAGGAAGTTGTCCCTCAACCAGCCCGCTGCGGAGAAGCAGCAACCTTGACAAAAAAAAAACCTAATTACCAACCGTGCGAAAAAACACGTCCGTTATATAATTATTGAGTCATTGGAGAATGTGCAAGCCGACCTCAATTAAGACAAGCGTGTGAGAACATGTAATTTGAATCTAATCAGTAGAAAAGCAGCAGAGTAAGCTAATCTATGGCAAAAAAAAAAAAAAAAAAAAAGACAACACGTTTGCACGCTTTGTGCTCTTTACTCACTCCTCCTGCTGAATGAAATCAATTCCACAGGTAGCGGCAGCTTTAAATAATGATTCAACTAAGTGCTGCCGGGGAGTGCTGTGTCCACACATTGTGTCCACACATCCAAATCTCTCTCTCTCCCCACCTCTCTCTCTCTCTCTCTCTCTCTCTCTCTCTCTCTCTCTCTCTCTCTCTCCTCAGTGCAGCCTCAAATCTCCCGCAGCACAGTGGAGCAATGGTTTCAGCCACTGGAAACACAAACTGAGGAAGTCCTTGTAACTCTATGATTTAGGGTCTCATTGACATATGATGAGATGTCTAACAGTGTTGAATTTTTAGCTTCAAGCCATATTTTGGAATATTGTCATCTTTCTGTGGGCCCGCCTGATGTTGGATTGAATTGGGCATGTTTCATTTTGGTTATTTATTGTAAGAATTTCAGGATTCCTTTGATATCATATCACATACCCATATCCATAAGGGTGTTGGATGCCTTGCAGCACCAACCACACACAGACATACACATATATCACCAGTTTTTCTGACACACATTTTTTTGTTTGTTTTACCAACCCTGTCTTTAAAAATAAAATTCCCACCTCACGTCTACACCTTCACCCTCCTTTTTGTTTGTTTGTCTGTCTTTGCAACAGGCCGCAATGTGCAGCTAAATGTCTGAGCAAAGGGATGTCAATGCCATGTTCTACAGATAAATGCTTCGTTTTCGACAACACTCTAAGCAACGTGCTACTTTGCTAATGATTGAACCACAGTTAATTAGCAGGGAACTCGTGTGATGCATTTAATGATTGCAGATTTTATCCGAGTCAGGTAAATGACACTGAAAGCTACAGAATCGATGAAGCACATTTCCATCAAAACTCCATCTCTTCAGCCAGGAATCCTGCACAACTTCCCTCTCCTGCTCCTCAAGGAAATGTGTGATATTTTGTAGCAGTTTTTGAAGAGCCAGCCTTCAATCAGCGCACTAAAAAAATCTGTCTAAATCCCTTCATCCATGTACGAACAAATTTCAAAGGACTACCTTTTATAAATTTGTAAAACGTCTGCTACTATTTGAAGGTGTCATCAGAGATAAAATACATTTAGAGATGCCATAGAATGTAGCAGACCCAGATGGAGAGTCTTTTCAGACGTTCCCTCGATGTTAAGTTTGCAATTTCCCCAAAGCCTTGGCACTGCAGGCACATGTGCTGAGGGCCAGATGGGTACAGACAGAGCCTGCTGCATCAGGCTGCCTCAATTTGGCCAAAGACGACAGATCTTACTGGCATCGCCTCAAACGAGAGAAACCTGGTGTCTTTGCAGCGTTTTCTCTTGATACAGTTCTCCCTCAGCTTGCAGTGTGAAGGCGTACTAAACACTGTCAAACACGCAGACACAGAAACACCCAAAACAGGACAGAGAGATTGTCTCCTCTCGCTGTGCTACTGTGACCGCGCAGTCATTCTTTGGGGTGTCCAGTCCAGTCCAGTCAAGTCCAAACAAAACCGAACCATCTTCAGTTTGCCTCGCTCAGCAGCTCACCGTGCTCGGCTGCTGTTTGCACACAAAGTCCGATATGAAGTCAAACTCATTCTGTCCCAGGAAGAGCTCAGGCAGCTCCTGAATGCGATCCAACCCAAGCTCCAGCACAAGCGACGTCAGAACCTCCTCATCGATGAGATCCATGTCCATGCCGCTGGGCCCCAAAGGGCCCCCGATGTGCTGCATGCCTGACAGCTGGGCCGGACCCATCCGGTACTGAGCACCGTTAGGCATGTGGTGGCCATTAGCTGAGGCTAGAGGGTGTCCGTGGTACTGAGTGTTAAGTTTCTGCAGGTGCATGCTGGCCATGAGCTGCTGAGAGGTGAGGTTCCCGGGGAGGTACTGCTGTGGGTGACCCCCCTGCTGCTGCTGCTGCTGCTGCTGCACCTGCTGCTGCTGCTGGGGGTGCATGTGATGATGCTGCTGGGGAGGACCCTGCCCGTTGTACATCATATTCCCAGACATCATCTGGTGGTGGTGGTTGGCCATGGGAGCTCCGTTCACAGGGCCCGCCATTCCTCCAGGTCCCACCATGCCCTGCCGCTGTCTCATGGCGGCCTCCATGTTGTTCTGAGGGTTCCTGCCGTAGTGCATCACCTGGCCGTTTGGCAGACTGCGCAGGCCGGGCTGCCCGCCGTGCTGAGGAGGACCGTTCATGCCCATCCTGAAGCCGTGGGTCATGGGCATCATCATATGTTCAGCCATGGCTGCTCTGTCACCCTAAACATACAAAATAGGAGATTGGTTTAATACAACTCAGACTTTTCAAGCAAAGATGTTAAACACTTCAGTCCAGCTTCTAAAAATGTAAGAATTAATATACAATAGTAAATGAAGAGTCTTTGGATTCTAGATGTTTTCGTTTGCTGTTTGCCTGCATGTTAAATCGGATGTATTTTGTGCCTCTGGATTGGAGTGTCTAATGTTTGAGTGTCCAAGAACAAACCGGATGCAAGGACAAGACGTTCCCACCAATTACAGATTGGCCTTACAACTTTCAATGAAGTTACTCTGCCTTTTTCTGTTCACTGTTTCTTGAAAACATTATCCTGATCTCTGCAAACAGCTAGTGGGTTAGCTTTAGCTACCAGCAGGTAGCCACAGAATTCTCTTTTCACTACCAAAATAAGCCACAGCAAGCTATCTAAAAGAAAGCTAATGTAACTAGAAGCTCTGCTGAAGACATTTTGCAACTTGTAAGCATTTTAATTAAATTCAATCAATCACTGAGCCCTGCCCTTATGATGTCATCAGGCCAGTCTCAGAGACTTGTTCTTTTGAGATTAAAAAATGTACACAACTTTCTAATTAAAATGCAAAGCTGTTGAGTTTTAAGATGTGAGACTAAGGTAAACAAGAAGGGGTCTCCAGCGCATCGACCTCTATCTTTAATCAGTGTAGGAATAATGTAGCTACAGACTCAGTGCTGCATGCACATCCCCCGACCTCACAGCACAGATGTTTGACAGCAGCTGCAATTTGTCCACTTTACTGAGCTTGACGCTAGTTTGAAACTAGCTTCAACAGCCTGTTAGCCTCCAAATAAAACTACTCCAGCCTCACTCAGTACGCTTACATGATATTAAAATGAAGCTGATTGACTGTGTAAGTCTGACTTAAAAGGCATTTTTATTTTAAATGTATGTAAACATATTAGTTGGACTGAAATCTTACTAAGTTGAATTCCTTACAGTCAGACTAACACACCTAGATAATGCTGCCGGGCGCCCATTTACTCTGGTCTTCCATGTTTGACTGATCAACATATGATGAGTTTGCTGCTTGCTAACTTGTTTGTGGATTGTTTGGTACCTGCTGTAATAGATAAATGTGAAAATAGGTCCAAAAGTAACTAGCTGAAAGGGCGCTTACATTGGAGTCAGACATGCTTCCATCAGTAAATCAATTCTACCCTGGTGCTTGTATACTAGGACATGGAAAGTAGTCATGACTTAACTGAGTAATAAACATCTCTCAATTGAACTGTGCATGCAATCATACTGAATGTCTATAGGCATATTATGCACACAGTTTACATGTTGCAGTCATTTTGGTAAAATAAACTGATGCTAAACTGTTTTTCTTCTGGTTCTAAATCCCACATGAGCTGTTCAGTTTAAGTCTTGATTGTCAAAAAAAACACAAAGATGCCAGAAATGATCCAAAACCCGTGAAGAAACTTCACGGCCAACTAGTGTTTAGGCGGAGTCATTTCCCATTACGAAAAAAATGACACACACAGCCACAAACACGAATAATGCTCACGGGTTGGTGGTACGATGTGGCCCTGTGTAGATTCAACATAAAAGTATGAATCCAAATTAATAAAAGAAACACTATCCAGTTGCATTATGGGAAATGTAGGATTGTGAGTTTCTTGATTTTAACCAGTAAAATGAAGATGCGATACAATCCCTGCTGCCACAATGTCAACATTTATTCTTAAATCTGTTGTGAGTCAAATGTCTTTTTGGAAGTGCAATACTAAACTGTTGGACAACCTCTTTAAAGGAATGACATTATTATTATTTTTTTAAATAGCTCTTTCTCTTGGTTGGAACTATTCTCCCTCACTCCACGCCACGGTTTCTCTCTCTTAATTTCACCTTAGATGTGTCCTAATAAAAAAACCCTCTCAAAACTCCACAATTGCACCATCAGTGAGTTACCGCTGAACATCACACTGACGAGGGAGGGCAGCAATACCCTCCTCGCCTTGCAGCCAAAAAGGACGCAGAGGAATGCTTCCTTTCAGACCACACAACAACCCCCCCCTCTCCTCTCTCTCCTTTAAAACACAGTCATTACAACAGATCTCCAATTAAGATTAACCTACACATGACAAACAGAGCCTGTCCATGCTCGAGCTGTAATTTGCTGTCAACGTGACCGGCTCGTTTTAAAATTGATGACATTATTTTACAACCTGCACTCTAAATGGGATGATCATAATGTCACATCCAGAGAGATGCAGGCTATATAATGTAACGACTGGCTGCGTCTGTCTGTGAGAGGCACAAGACATTTCAGCCTTTAAATCCTTTTATTAGAAAATATCTCTGGTGTGTGTGGTTTTCTCCCCCCGGCTGCTTGTAGCCATTCAACCCCTATAGAGCTGATAAAACAAGACACTTTCCTCAATAGCCTTAATCCTCTTTAGTATATTCTGCTCTTGTGTTACCTAATTATACCCTCCTCTATCTGTGGAGCGTCTCTGCAGATCTGGATTACCATTCAAGTTTAAATGCTCTCTTTGCAAATAGATAGTCTGAACGAGGATCATAATTGATGGTGTTATTAAGCATGAAACCTCTGTGTCTATTCGGGCTATTTGAGATCAAAACCCCGCAACAAATAGCGCGTAATAGCGCGACGCAAGTTAACAAAGTAGGATAGAGAAGGCGAAGCAGCTTGTTCCAGCATATTAATGCTGTAGAAGAATACAATAGTCTGCAGTACAGAGGGAAAGTGCTGCCTTTTCTACCTGTTCAAGGAGTAACAGAAGGCGACACCTACCCCGATGTCTGAATTGTGCGGTGAATCCGTGCGGAGAAGTTGGATCAGTGCCCCGGTTGTTCTCCAGCTGATGCTCCGGCTACATGCAGCCCCTGCGGCGGATTGAAACTCTGCGTCGTCTCGGTAGTCAGAGGAGTTTGCTTTCTGGGTCAACTCAGGGATTATATGCATCTATAAAGCACAGAGAGGGAGAGGGAGAGAGAGAGAGAGATAGGGAGAGAGGAGGAGCTATCGTCCTTTCCGTCTCCTTTGTTGCCATTGGTCCTCCCCCCCCTACCCCCCTCCCCCTTAATCACTGAGCAAAGAAACATTCACTAACTACCTCCTCCACTGATCCAGCGGAGCAGCAGAGCGCCGCGCTGCCGAACACCGTGCCGCGCTGCTCTGTCTCCTGGAGAGATCTCACTGCCCGCCTGCCTTCATTACCCTCCGCTGTAATCCGTAATGATCCTCACTCTCTAAACTGAAAGCTTTCTGTTTAAAGAGCAGTGGGGAGGGATCCTTCAGGCTGCTGGCTACACCGAACCACTGCATGCAGCTACAGAAACAAAAGCGTTTAAATCTGACAAAACATCGATGATGCATCTTTTTATAGTGTCACAACATTACACAATCAGAGTTTTAAGTATCAGAGAAATATGGAATGATGCAATTTTCACGTGTTAAATATATAAACATTATTTGTACGTTTACCAAAACGTGAATTAATGATCAAGCGAACCTTGTCGTACAACTACGGTAAAACTTCTAATAAAAGCACATCCCAATTTGGGGGTGGGGTGGGGGGGGCCCAGTCCCTTTTACTTTTGCCTGGTGATACCTGGACGTAAGCAGGAAGTAATTAGGGGGACAAGAAGTTTGGCAGGTTTTCAAGGATGGGCTGTCTTACAAATCAAGATCAAATGAATACTTTCTAATTCAATTTTTTAAACTATATCCCAATTGTGTACACATTAAATATTCTTTCTTGTGTGAATGTTAAATTGTGTAGTCTTTGCCATCTTTCCTGTGCAAGAGTTTGGTTAGAAAATACTTAAAGGCCTGTGTGGTATATTGACCCCTGACCCACATAATGGCAGGGTATCTTCTTAGACTGGAGTAAATAAAAGCCTGTGCTATTAATTCAAGTTTTACGGTATATACACTTATATGGAAAGAGATTCAGCAAAGAGTGTTATGACAAATGTATCAAGGAAAGGGGAACTTATTTTTGCATTTTACAGAATGAGCAGAAGTTTTCCTTTGTTTGAAAAGAAATGCTCCTCCTCCTTAGAGGTTTGATTCATTTTATAACTTATACTCGGCCTGCGCAATATGAGAAAAAAGTGCCGTATGTGACAACAATGTTCAATATTGTGAGGACGATATAACTAGCGATGAATAGACAAAAAATAAAGAGTGCATATTAGCTAGAGCTCATATGTCTATCTGTTCTACTTCATGTTTTTTAAAATACCTGTTTTGCAACATCTCCCTCCTGATTATGAAATAAATACAGAAATTATGTTTCCCCTCCTCTCAGTGGCACTCCTCTATCTCGTCTCTGCAGATCTGGATTAGCATTCAGTTTAAATGCCACTTTGCAAATAGAAATTAAAATATTCACACTTAATTTATTTGCAGAATATTCACTGTCGTAAAATTTAATTGAGTTTTTCTCGACTCATATCAAATCTTTGAAGAGACTGAAGTCTTGCATCCCTTCACATCAAAAGACTTTCAGCCACAGACTGTAATACTATGAAAAGATGAGCGTGCAGCATGCACTTTTAAAAAGTCAATAAATAGATTCCTTTCCATCATTCTTCTGGGGGGTGGAAATTAACGATAAGAAAAGTGAACAATGGAGTAAAAGCAGAAGCAGCTTCTGGCCACAGGCGCTTGCAGTGACTTGAGTTACCTGCTGGGATTGAGGCTACAACATTAGCTATAGGTATCATGATCAAAAATGTGTTTCATGCTGGTGATCAATAAAGTATCACCCTGCCTCCATATCTTCTACATGCTGACAAGTCCCTTCCAAGGCATCTCCTTACTTCTTATTTCCCACCTTTACATGTTGACTATAACTCACCACTAGTGCACCAACACAGAGTTCTACTACCAAGCAAGCGTCAAAGTATCGCGTCCCATTGAGTCATAGCTATAGCATACCTGTCTGTCAGGAGGTGTCCCTCCTCTATTGTTGTTCATTGAGTTTTTCCAAATGTAGGCTCTACGAAGAGTAGGGTTTCATATGTTGTACAGGTTTTAAAGCCCTTTGAGCTGAATTTGCTTTTTGTGATGTTGACGTCAAAACCGAAGATAAGAAGACAACTATAGCTATATTTCAGTATGCACAAGTTCAGATGTGTTTATCAACATTAAATCTTTCATGAAACTTAAAGCTAAGCTACCTTTATTTTGGCCAATATGGCTTGGTAACATTTTTAAGTGGAATATATTTGTTCCACTGATTAATTCTGTCTCCATGTGACCGGGATCTGTTTCGCATTAAACCAAAACGACTGACTAAAAAGGGCTAAAAACCCAAACTGAGTTGAGAAAAAATTGCATTAATTGGTGTTTTTTTTTTTTTATGTGGAGAGGTTCAAGAGGCAAGCCATGATGTTACAAGGATGTGCCAAGATGGCAGACGAGCACCAGAGTCTGAGGCTGTGCTAGTTGTCATTCACATAAAGAAACAGTTTCATTGCATGCACAAAGATTGCACCGGTTGTGCGCCGGTTGCAGGAGTACATTATGCTAAAGGGTCGGTCTGGTAAAGTAGAATAAACTGAGTGGCCGTTTTTGATAAAAAATGTGTTGATTTAATGGTCACCAGAGATTAAAAAAAAAAGAAAAGTTTATCATTTTGATCCTATTTGCATTGTTAAAAACTGAGATATGATCCTGCCTCTCGTTAAAGGCAAACTGAGCCATGTGCTAAAACCTTGACAACTTGTTATTTGCAGCATGCTGGAAATCAAACCACCTTCATACACCTCCAGAGCATGCACACACCAGCCAGTCCTTTTGTTTTGTCCTCCCTCCCTGTGTGGAGAAAGTCAGCCCCTTCAGCAAGAGCTTGGTATGTATTCATGTTGACACACACACACACACACACACACACACACACACACACACACACACACACACACACACACACACACACACACACACACACTGCTGCAGAGGAATGTGTCCTATTTTGGGGCCCCTGAAGTCAGCCAGACTCCCAGCCTCTTTCTAATGCTCCATTCACTTGACCATTGTGGTACTTGTCCCTCTCCTTTGGGAGGACACTGTGTGTTTTGATCTGCAGCCACAGCCTCCTCCATTTATTTACAAGGAACAGTTGTTCTCCGCAGTGATGGGTACATTGTTGGCGTCAGGCCGATGTTCTTATTCTGCCAAATTCAGCTGGAATTTAAAGCAAAGGTTTTTTCAAGAGACAACATTTAAATTCAGCCTCTCAAGTATTGTCCTTTCTCAACAAAATCACCAGGAATTTCTCAACAACCCTCACTTCCAGCTTGATAACTGCTGACATAAGCACAAACAAAATTGAGGAGATAGCAAAAATGTAAAAGGAGCTAAACTTGTTCATTTGTGTTGACATTTTCATCCGTACCATTAAAAGATTTAACGTTCAACATCCTTTGATCCTCTCTCTGACATATGAGCCTAGTTCATGTTCTGTGTTGCTTTTCTAACATATTTGATATCATCCCAACAGCAGCATCTGACCACACAACCACACTGCGGCCATCACCACTTTTCGGCCAGACGTTGCTAACCTTTTCCGAGTCCACCAAGCAGGCAGTGCTGCTGGGCCTGACAGACCCATGGGAAGATCTCTGGGAAGAGGCCTTTGAAACTTAGCACTACACGTATGCAGGGTTGGTTAGTTACTGCAAGCGGGTTGGGTGTAGAGCAACTGTCTCCCAGGGGAAGTTTGCTGCAGGAGATTGTGGCCCTCTCTGTGGTCAGAGCCTTTAAGAAATTGGGCATCAAGGGAGAGAAGCCGAGGGATGCCATCTGCAGTACCCATAGACTGTATAAAACATGGACAAGTCTCAGTGACGTCACCCATTGGTTTTCTAAAGAGCACTCTTGAACCCCAGCGATGCCATATTGGAAATACGGTCTCAAACTCACCTAGTGCCCACCTTGGAACAGGCAATAAGCTGGAGCTGAGGTGTGCCTTAAGCCTCATGGCTAACAGCTACGAGATGTTATTGTGGAAACTTGAGCCCCTTTTACATTGCCAGTTCAAGGCAGGATATTTACACCTCTGTTATGCAATGCCTAATGTTGGGGTGTAGTTCTTCTGCTGCTGAGCCAGCCCTAGAGGTAAAACAAAGCTGTAGCTGATCTGATTATATGCACATCCTTATCCCAGTATACATGCACTGGGGAAAAAAAATCGATTCAGCTGGTTACTATTGGACCCACTTCTGAATGATTGCTTACAAGTTAGCGTGCGGAAAACTGGTTGTAAGTCAAACAGTGAAAACATGGACATTTTCACAGCTCTGTACATTTTGTACAATCTCTACACTTTCCTTCACATTATCCCTCCAGCATATCCGGAGGCAGAGGACAACACGGCTTCTGCTATGATACGCATTTTTGATGTTTGACTACTTCAGGAACAAAGTGCAAAGCCGGAACTGCAGAGCTAGCGCAGCCTAGTCCAGTTTAGACCCGAATGAAGTGTATACAAGCAAAAATAAGCCGATCCCCAACTGCAGCATCCATTCAACTTAGTACATTTTTAGTCAAGTTAACTTGTGTGTACATTAAATGTCCAGTTTTAGACAGTCTTACACAATTAATTTATTTTTTCTACTTGTCAACGTACTGAATGTAAAACGTTGGAGGGGAAAAAGCGCTGTGTGTGTGCATGCATGTCTAAGTGTGTGTGTGTGTGTGTGTGTGTGTGTGTGTGTGTATGTGAAGCTCCTGCTGGTTTTTACACATTGTGCCTCTCTCAATTGCTTTTCACAACGCTGTAAAAATCACACACTGCCACACCAACATATAGCATTGCAGATTCATGTACAAAAGCATAGTGACGGGGAGCTTTTGTCATGGCGCTATTTCTGACTCCTAACGTAGAAAGGACTTTTATTTGTCTTCCTTATTTCTTTGCCAGAATCAGTTGCCATGTCAACCAGCAAATATTCCTTGAAATTGCTGCTGTTATTTTGCATGATTAAAAGCTGTCTTTCTCTGCTGTGTTC